AATTTAGATCTCTCAATGTTTTCCTTTATATTATTTTTTTGTTGCTTTGCATTTGAGAAGTTGACATTTTCCACAGGCCTGACATACACATTCAAATTTTATTTTCTGTAAGCTTATTTTTGTGTACTATTATATTTTGAAAGACTTCCATGGAAGAATGATCCATCAGTGCCTTTGGGGAATCTTTTTTTCGCCTTTAACAGCACTATCAAAATCGTCTTCTTAACCCAGTGCCTTCCGGATAGATTATGAACTGTTGCTGTGTACATGTGAGATAGACTCCTAAAATATAATATCCAGAAGGCACTTGATGATATTTTATTCTGTAAATAATATCTCTTGTGTAATTTAATTCAGTTCAGTTTCAGAAATTTCAATATATTTGAATATTTCCAAGCTTTTATTATAACTCACAATAGTAAATTTTAATTGCCAGGGTTTTCAATGAGGAAGTTTATACTCTGGAAAAATGAAATACATTACAGGTATCCTTCACTTAAGATACTTCTGAATATGCCACGTTTTGAACTTAAAGGAATCCTAGAAGAGGTAGCAACCAGCTTTAGTAATGTGAAGAATGGAGATTAGGTCATTTTCAGACTAAGGTCAAGTGATGTCACAGCTGGAATTTACAAGTCACAACTCTTAGCCAATGGAAAACCTCCAGCAGTAAGAGGAAACAGGGAAAACTTTTGGAATCTCCTAATATGGGATCTTGTGGAGGAATACCTTCCTAGCTAACTCACCACAAGCCTGGTCAACCAGGGAGCTGGTACCATATTACTGGAAGTTTTCGACGGTGACTTAGAATTTCTTTTAAGTGGAAATCCTCTAATTTCATAATGGGAGTCAATGGCCAAGTAGAATTAACTTTGGAGATTTTTTAGTAATAAACTTTGTTAGAGAAAATTTATTTCCATACTTTGAAGAATAATGGCAAATACAATAATTTAAAGATGTGTATGTGATTTTTTTGAAAATAAAATAAAACGTGGACTCTTCAGTATCTTAAAAATAATCTAATATGATGATACAGAAATTATTCTATACTCCAAAGTCCCCCAAATACCTAAATCTTTCAGGGAAAAATTACCATATTCTGATATTTTAGGAGGTATTTGTTGGATGCAAACATAATTTCATGCTTCATTTTCTTACCTTTTTTTGTTTGTTTTAACTGTCATTTTCTTTATCTCTCCCTTTGCTTAAGAGCAAATATTAGTTTTTTGGCTTTTGTAAATGCCACAGCAATTCAGACAGACACTGCTTCTGTAGTTCTTGCTATTTGTTGGGGGTGTCTTGGACACCCAGAATATTAAATTTTGAGTTAAGGATCAATCTTAACACAAAAATTTTTGGCTTGAATAAAGTGCAACAAAATTCACAGTATCATAACCAACCAGCAGGTCGTTATGCTCGGTAACTTCCATCCAGTTTCACCTCTAAATGGGTTTTTATTACCGTTTCCTTTAAACCGTCTCTGATCTTTGCCATCTGACTGTCCTTGTTACCTTCCCTTATAGAAAGTAACCCAACATTTTCAAAGCAAATTTTGGGCTAGTTTGCTCAAGTACACCTTGGTTTAGATAACTTGATTTTTATTTCATTGTTGCAGTAGAAATTATACCAAAACTTTAGGATGGATTAGGGATGTAGGAAGTATGTTACAGTAATTATAAGTTTTACTTTGTCATGTTATTTTTGAATGGCCTTTAACACATGTACCTCATGTCAGGATTTGACTGCAACCTATTGCTGATTCTCTAATCAAGAATATAACATATCTCTTAACCCTGGGCGTCATTATGGAAGAGATTAAACACTGGATATCCAGAGCTAATTGACCAAATCACTGTGTATTCTCCCCATTCAGAACAGTTAACATTTGTTAATTTACAATTATCAATGATATTAGCATGTTAATTGAAAAGCTGTTTTTTTATAAAATACAATCAACTTTAATTTAATTGAGTTAAGACAGGCTGCGTCTCTAGTGGTGGGGAGAAGTTCAGAATTATGATTAAAAAAAAGTAGTCAAAATATGGGGTCAAATAGATTTAGTGTAAATATAGTTGTACAATTAAATAGAAGCTTGTTAACGTAAGGAAGCCCATCTTGGCTTTTCCTGAATTCCTCAATAGTGTATTAGATTCTAAATGGCAGCACTACGTGGTGTGTGATCTTGGTTTTGGTGGCCAGCTCCTTCCTTTCCCTTTAAACTGTCACTCTCCCCTTAGCACACTATCACCTGGGGTCTCACACTCTTCTCCAAGATTTCATTCCAGTCTTTGAATCTGATAAACCAGGCAGAGGAACCTCAAAGGAACAGCACAGGTTAAATACAGGTTTCTTTTCATTGTTGTTATTTGAAACAAACCGGTACCACCTTCTCAAAGTTGTCACGCTTGTAAAAATTTTCAGTGTGCTTTACCTAAGAAGATGTAAAAGAAAGAATGTTTATTTTCTCTTTCAACAAACCTATTCCATATTGTTATGTGAGTACTTTAAAATTCTTCCCTTTCTGGGGCCGGCCCAGTGGTGTAGTGGTTAAGTTCGTGTGCTCTGCTTCCCGTGGCTGGGGGTATGCGGGTTCAGATCCCAGGCATGGACCTACACACTGCTCATCAAGCCATGCTGTGGCAGCATCCCAGATACAAAATGGAGGAAGATGGGCAAAATTTTAGCTCAGGGCTAATCTTCCTCAGCAAAAAGAGGGAGACTGGCAACGGATGTTAGCTCAGGGCCAGTCTTCTTCACCAAAAAAAAAAAAAAATTCTTCTCTTTCCAAATTATTTTTTTTCTAAAGTTAAAAAAATTTTCTTTGTTAAAGTGTAGACCACTCCATGTTTCTGTTTTGATTTTAATTGTTAGCTTAGTATATACACTTACAAATAATCAGACAATCGTATATCTCCAGTGAGCACAGAATTCTGACAAAGACTGGTTTTGCCAGCTGAATTATGGCCTGTGTGCCTTGTTGGGGAGTGTTTGGGGCATCCTTACATTGAGATGGATCCAAAGTGATGTCTACTGGTAGCTATGTCTTAGAAACAATTAACACCTGATCATGTAAGACCTGCTTTCTGATTTCTAGTAATTTTGTTTTTTAATTTTCCTTTCAGGCTAACTGCACAATCAGGGTAATGCAGCCTCAGATGATTGTTGCTTGTGTAGCAATTTTGCATTTGAGATCAGTTTGATCTCTACTGTCTAATTTGATCTTCACAAAAACCTGATGAGATAAAGTGGCCACTGGAATAGCCTTCATCTGATAGATAAATAAACCACCACCGAGAAGTCTGAGGGACTTGCCCAAGGTCACATGCTTGGAGAGGCCAGGTCTTGAGCCCAGACTCCCAATTCTGTCTCCCCACTATCACACTGGCACTGTCTCTCCGCAAAGCCTTCGAGAAACACCACTGGGGTGGTTGCAGCCCCCACGTGTATGTTTTTGATATCTACGTAAATCTTGAGAAAAGCATAGTTGGGACCAGTCATAATCTGCTAGGTGAATAGAAAGGGGGTTTGCTAAACTTGTACTATTTGTACAATTTCTAGTGAGGCATAATGTATAAACAAATATTAGAGTATATTTTAAAAGCATTTGCAAAGTAAATGTTTGATAACAGGTATTACTGTGCTTTTCAATTTTAGAAACCGTGGTTCAGTTATTTTTATGTGAATACTTATTCTGTGGCCTTGGATGCTTGCACTATTAATTTAAAAATAGGACAAGGACTTAAGTACTGGGAAATGGGCTGTGTTGGATTAGTTCTGGGTTGCTTTACCTGCAATTATGAGGGCTTTTAGCATTTCTACCTATTCCTTGTTACAAAGACTTACTAACACAGAAAAAAGCCATCATAAAATCTTTAATTTCAAAATGCTGTGACTTAACTTTATGAATGTGTATTTAGGATCAGTCATTTTATAATTTGTTATTGCTTAGTACATGTGTTACTTTCTCTTTGTTTGATCTACATCTACTTAATAGTCTGAGTATTTTCATTAAACGATTCTCTAAGGAGTCATTTTTAATAAAAATTTAATTACATTTATTTTCTTTTTTTTTGAGCTTTACTGGGGTATAATTGACAAATAAAATTGTAAGATATTTAAAATGTACCTTGTAATGATTTGATATATCTAGACATTGTGAAAGGATTCCTTCCAGCTAGTTAATTAACACATTCATCACCTGACATATTTATCTTTTTCTTTTTTGGTGAGAACATTTACGTTTTACGCTCTTAGCAAATTTCAATTATACTATACAGTGTTATCAACTACAGTCACCATGTTATACGTTAGATCCTCCAATCGTATTCATATTATATGATTATAGTTATTTTAGAGTCAGTTTATGAAGCTATAGTTTGTAAGTTGAGCACTCTCAAAACCTTTTATTTATAAACAAGTGTAAATTGCCTTCCTAGGGTGTGTGGGTCACTGTGCTTGGTCCTGTGTAGATGGGAGAAAAGGAAGTGTGGTTGTTTTGCTTGCTTTTGGAATTTTACTTGACTTTACAAAACATTTAGCAAACATTCCCATCAAACTTAGAAATTATGTAGCTATTTTAAGAAGGTATTTTCTGATCCATTTTCAATTTTTAAATTATTTCAGGTGGCAAGTATAGGTACCCCTGATTTTGAAGTTTTCTGCAAATATAAATATTCCTAACTCCCAAAGAAGGCTTTCTATCTTGAATTCAACTTCATATCTTTCTGAGGTCTATTCATGTATATCAATGTTTCTATCACCAATCTGAAGATGAAGCAAGGGAGAAATGATGATATTTTTTTCCCCCAGGATGCGAATCTGTTAATGACAGAACAAGATTAGAAGAATCTTTCTTTTGTGTTAATTATTAATCATGCTTCCGTTGTTTAAAAAGTCACAGCTAGCTCTTGCCTCTAAGTAGAAAAGGAAAAATCAAAGAATAGGAAAAAGGAAATGAGTTTACCTTGGTGTAAGTTTAAATATATTTCTCTCTTTCTTAGGAGAGAGTTATGTGTGTGGCTCCATAGAGCCCTTCAAGAAGCTGGAATACACCAAGAACGTGAACCCAAACTGGTCTGTGAACGTCAAGACCACCTCGGCTTCCCGGGCAGTGTCGTCACTGGCCGCTGCCAAAGGGAGCCCTTCGGAGGTGCGGGAGAATAAGGATTTCATTCGGCCCAAGCTGGTCACCATCATCAGAAGTGGGGTGAAGCCACGGAAGGCTGTCAGGATTCTGCTGAACAAGAAAACTGCTCATTCCTTTGAGCAGGTTCTCACTGATATAACCGATGCCATCAAGCTGGACTCGGGTGTGGTGAAACGCCTGTACACCCTGGATGGGAAACAGGTAAGAGAGATACCGTGGGATGGCCTTGACTTTACAGGCAAGAACCAGAGACTTGAAGGATGTGTGTGGCATGTGGTGGGGATCTGAAGCATACATTTTACTGAAGTTGAGGGAGTTGGGTCATTGAGTCAACAAATACATAGCTGTTGGCCTCAAACCAGTCCAAGGGTAGAGTTAGACAGGATTAACCATAGGAATAAAGTAAAAATGCCTGTCTCTGAAGCTCAAATGGTTACTTAGAGATTTCTACTTTTTCAGTTATTAGTTCCTTAACATAATGGTGCTTTTTAGCCATCTGTTTTCAATTATGTCGTATAGTAATGTCTTATAGCCTTGAGCATGACTGAGATGTAGAGGTAAATTCTGGCCAGTAGGGCAAAACCTAATTCTTTTCTTTGGCCTAAATAATATTTTATAATTTTATGTCTCAGTAATGTTCACTAGTGAGATTTATTTAAATTTTATAGATCTTTAAGTACATATCTAAGGAATGAAATATTTCCATCTGGATGGCTTTAAGAAGCATATTTCTATAATGCTATACATCTTGTATTGGAAAAATAATTTCAGAATTAAAATGAAGGGGGATTTCTTTAGCTGTGGAATGTACATCTGTTGACGTGGATGAGTGGACATTTTAATGTGAGTTGCTCAGATGAACTTAAATGAAGTCTTGTGTGGATTTTTGTAAAGGTTTGACAGAACCCTGATGGTGAGCTGAATAAGAAAACACTGACATATGTACAGTGGGATTTGCTAGTCATTCAGAGTTTACCAGTGTCTTTTTGTTTAAGATTGTAATTTTTAGCATGCTATCTTTGCTTGAAATTTAGTTTTTACTGTGGATCTGTCTAAATACTTTTTAATTGTTACTTTGAGAGGTAATTTGAATGATTTGTACATAGTGTACATATTAAACCTCAAAACTGGATTCATAGATTAAAAAGTTGATCTTATTAAGTAGAAGACTCATTCAAAGACTCATATGAAGGCTGACACATTCAAATTTTATGAATTAAAAAAGGATCAAGCACTAGAAATAGTGTTAGTCATGAAGGGAGTCCTCCCCTAGGAATCCATTCAAATGCTCTAAATTATAAAAGGCGTTATGAAAGAAGGATTATCTGCCAGTTGTTCATTTATATTCACCAGTCTTCTGCTTGTTTTGTAAAACTTCTCCTAAGTGTCATGTAGATAAGGATTCTGAGGGATGAAATTCCCAGTCTTCCAGATCTAAGAGGGTGTAGCCTGAATGTCACCAATATATCAGTGATCAAAAAGTCCACTGCTGACCTGTGAATTATAGCAACAGTAAGAATGCAAAGTTTGCATTTAAACATTTAAGCCCTTCACTGGATTCTAGCTGTAGTGAGTTACTCAACCATCTTGTAGTTCTGCATTTTCATGTATTGAGTTTTCTCAAGATACAGGTTTACCTGTTTCCTAAAAAAGTGGAATTTAAAACAAAAAAAATACATATTGATAAATCTTCTCTTCCTACCTCATTTTAGAATTTTAGGGGTTCCAAATTGCTACACACTGAATTTAGAAATCAGGGTTAACTTCTTTAGCTAAATTCTGCCATCACCTGATCATTTGTTTATTCCGAGAATGAAGTCCTAGAATAGGTACCCTGATGTTCTCAGTAGTTTTCTTCCTGTAGGAATTTATCTAGTGTCTATATTTTATAGTGACTGTTTTTGCTGTGGTTTACATGTAAATAATCCAGTGTAATGGAAAAGAATCCAAGGTTTAATGTCAAAAGACCAAGATTCAAATCTTGGCTCAATGACAGATTATTGGTGTTTTTAGCAAATCACTTAACTGAGCCTCATTGTACTTTACTCATTAATAAAACAAGGATAAAATGATCACCTCTGTTTCATAGCGTGTTTGTGGGATCAACTGTAATAATACGTGTGAAAGCAGTTTTGAACTATAATAATAACGATCATAGGTTTATGGAGCATTATTCTAAATGCTTTGCATGTATTAGCATGTTTAATCCTCATAACAGCTGGATTATTATCCCCATTTAACAGATGAGGATACTAAGGCACAGAACTTATTCAAAAAACATGTCCAAAACCACACAGATGTAAATGGCAGAGTTGGGATATAATCCAGTCTCTCTCCAGATCTTGTGCTCAGAAAACCACTGTACCACGGCAGATTGTATTAAAACACCAAAGAGATGTAAATGTACTGAGAAAGAAGTTTCAAGTGAGTAATTTGTCCAGGGAATATCATCTGAAAGTTTTCTGCTGTGTATTTTTTCCTGCTGTCATTCTGCTGACTGTTGTATTCAACAGCTTTTTGTGGAGCATTCAGTTCGCTGTTGTGGCGTTTCCTCTCTTGTGGCATGTTCTCCCCAGAGCAGGAGTGGTGAAAAGCTGCACGGGAATTGTATGATAAAGTGAAAAGAATATAAAGACTTTTTGCTAGGGTTCCTAGTAGGAACAAAGATGCTTCCTCATGGACCCCAGGAGTCTTTAGAATTGCTTCTGTTTAAAAGAGAAATCTGCCTCCATGCATGGTTTGTTAGAGTAGAATTCTTTGACAGCCTTGGCAGAGACCAAGGCTTGATAAGCCTCTGAGAATAAACCACTTTCCTCCAAGTCTTCCTGTGGCATGATGCTCTGCCATAGTAGGGTGGCACCCCCTGCCGCCACCATCTTACCCTGCCCGCTGTGACATTGGGCTCCACATACTGTCAGCAGGACATCACCCTGAAGGTCACTTGTCCCACCTGTTTTTTTTTTTTTTTTTTTTTTAATAGAGTAACTGAGCCCTGTAGCAACTCAAAAAATGATATGGGAAATCCAATGCCCAATAAAGCTTTTAAAGGTAATTTTTAAAAATTTTTTTTTGTACTGAGGAAGTAGAGATGTTTAAAAAATTAATGGCTTGAGTGCTTTGGATAAATGAGTAGAGAGCAAGATATGCAAGCAGGGATGCCTTTTCAGATTGCCTTCAGGCAGCCTGCAGATGTATCTGTGGGATGGAAACTGGTGCCTCTGGGGTTTCTATCACCGGAACAGTGAGAGCCCGTGCCTGCTGCTCCATATATTACCCAGAGATGGGCACTGGAGGGCATGGACCCCATGCCACCCTCACTTGTTCTGCCTGCCACTCGGCCTCCTGCTCGTTGGCCTCTTCGGTTTGCTTTAAGCCCTAACCTACGAGTTCTTTATACAGTGATTTTTTGTGTGTGTGTGAGGAAGATTGGCCCTGAGCTAACATCTGTGTCAATCTTCCTCTATTTTGTATGTGGGACACCACCACAGCGTGGCTTGATGAGCACTGTGTAGGTCTGCGCCCAGCATCTGAACCCATGAACCCTGGGCCACCGAAACGGAGTGTTCGAACTTAACCACTATGCCACCGGGCCAGCCCCCTATACAGTGCTTTTTTGAGGTGTTTAAGCTAAGATAAGGAAATCAGCATATTGGAAATGCTGCACTGTATTGAAGATATTTTGCAGGAAGCTGCAAATTCCCCAGATGACCTTTGAGGCTCCTTTGTGAGCAAACCCTTTCTAATTATTTTAACTCCATTGTTTATTGAGGGGCATTGAAGCTTTGGTTAAAGGTTGCTGCAACCTTGGCTGCCCCCTCCTCCCACCTTTCAGGGGGCCTCTGCTCACCACGTGATCAGGCACTTTTTCCGGCGTGGCTGGGGAGGTCAGGGAAACACTTGCTGTGTCTTAATTTCAGTGATGCATTATTTATCTGGGCCCTGATTAAGGGTCCCCAAGGAAGGAAAGATGGCATTGTCCAGCAGAAGGTGAAAGTCACGTCCCCTTTCTCCACATCCCAGGGGAGGCCTTGCAGGGTGTGGGAGTCTTTTCCTCCTTCCCTAGTCTAGGCTCTGGATGTGGGATTTTCTGGGGGTTAGTCACCCTGCCAGGCAGCTACTCCCACAGGTCATTTGGAGTGTGACTATTTTTTAAGTGATTAAAATAAACCCAAAACGTACAAGATTTGCTGCAAAGATAGACTTGCATATCTTCTGACTCCCTTTTTAGAACAGCTAATCTGGCTGTCTTGAGCTGCTAAGTCTTTTAAACCTGTGATTACTGAGTCCTTGCTTAGAAACTAAACAACAGCCAGCAAGTCTTAGAACAGCTAAAGCCTAAGCAGGCGATTTATACTGTCTTTACAGATAAGGCCAGATAAGGCCCTTCCCAATGATCCTCCTTGCCCACTGAAATATAGTGATGATAAATTAGATTGCTCTTTAAGTGGAAAATATATTACATCCCCATCTTATCTACTCTTCACCATTGAAGATCTATACAAAATAGCGTACTTTAGGAGCAGAGGAGAAACTCACTCAAGGCGGTTCTATTTTTAGCTTATAGACATTTCACATAGGTCATGCACTTTGCAAAATCCGCCACTACTAGCACGCTTCCGAATATGGAAAACACTAGGGATGACTCAGCTAAAGTAAAGGTAACTCATGAACTGGTTTAGATGGTAAACTGTGAGAAGAGGCAGCATAGCTGCTGTCTTGATCCATTCGGACTGCTGTAACAAAATACCACAGACTGGTGGCTTATAAACAACAGAGATTTATTTCTCCCAGTTCTGGAGGCTGGAAGTCCAATATCAAGGTGCCAGCAGATTTGGTGGGTGAGAGACCGCTTTCTGGTTCACAGACAGCGCCTTTTGGCAGACTCCTCACATGGCAGAAGGGGCTAGGGAGCTCTTGGTTCTCTCTCGTAAGAGCATCAATTCCATTCATGAGGGCTTCGCCCACATGACCTAATCACCTCCCAAAGGCCCCACCTCCTAATACAATCATCTTGGGGGTTAGGTTTCAACATATGAATTTTGAGGGGACACAAACATTCAGACCGTAGCAGCTGCTGTGTAAAGGAAATCTCAGTAGCTGTCAATAAATTAATCAGTTACTGTGTCTTCTCTGTATCTTTTGATCATTGAATCCCCTTTCCTATTATAAACGTAAAGCTCAAAAAATGCTTGTAAATGAGT